TTATTGGCTGCACCTCGTCCCGTGATGTCTGGACCTCTCTGACTCGCGCCTATAGTCATGCCTCGAAGGCTCGAGAACTCAGCCTGAAGGACGATCTTCTCTTGGTCAAGCGTGGGGATCTTTCCGTTTCTTAATATGGACAGCGTTTCAATGCAATTTGTGACAAGCTTGCTGCCATTGGTCGGTCTATTGATTCGACTGACGAATCTCACTGGTTCCTGCGAGGTTTGGGGTCTGCTTTTTCGACGTTCACGGCCGCACAACTTTCTCAGGAGCCTCTTCTTGGATTTGACACACTTCTTGCCCGCGCCGAAAGTCACCAATTTTTCCAACGTTCATCTGACATCTTGCCATCGTCGTCTTCGGTTGCATTTTATGCTGCTCCTAAGGCCCGTCCTCCGACCTCATCTCAGCCACAAGGATTCTTCAAGAAAAATAAAGGCAAAGGTCGTCGTCCACCGTGGTGCTATTTCTGCCGTGAAGAGACCCATGATGCATGGGACTGTCCTCGATGTTTTGACCGCTGTTTCGCTCGGCCTTCCCGATCCTCTACTACAGCTACTCTTGCCGAAGCACTATCATCAAGCTGCTCTATATCGCAACCTAATGTTTCTGATTGGTACTTAGAAACTGGGGCTTCTGCTCATATCACCTCGGATGCATCTCAGCTTGATGATCTTACTAATTACAACGGCTCTGATCGTGTCACAGTTGGTAATGGTGAACAACTTCCTATCACGCAAACTGGTTCTGTTATTTTCTCTAATTCTTTTTATTTACGCGATGTCCTCGTTGTGCCCGGAATGACTAAAAATCTTTTGTCTGTTAGCAAATTGACCAGAGACTTACCTGTTCATGTTATCTTCACTGACTCTTCCCTTCGTATTCAACACAAGGACAACGACAACATAATCGCAACCGGCGTGCGTGATAGTGGCCTGTACCGTTTCGATTTGGTGGTCAAGGTTTTTGCTGCTCACATATCCATATCTCGGCGTGCTTTCTCGGAACTTTGGCATTCCCGACTTGGACACTCCTCCCCCGCTATTTTATCTACTTTAGTTAATTTGAAGATGTTGTTTGTTACTTCCAGTTGTTCTAAGTCCGTCTCATGTAATTCGTGTCATTTAGCTAAAAGCAAGCGTCTGTCTTTTCCTATTTCAACAAAACGATCTTCTGCTTTATTGGAGTTAATTCATTGTGATTTGTGGGGACCTTCCCCGGTTACTTCTACTGCTGGATTTCGGTATTATGTTATTTTTGTGGATGACTACTCGCGCTTTACTTGGTTCTACCCTCTTCATGCTAAATCGGATTTTTATGAAACTTTGATAAGCTTCCAGGCATTTGTGGAAACTCATTTCTCTTGCACCATCAAGCGTTTTCAGAGTGACGAGGGTTCGAAGTTTGTTAACAATCGTGTTAAAGCACACTTCTCTGAATGTGGAATTCACCATCTTCTATCTTGTCTGTATACTCCGAAGCAAAATGGTAGAGCTGAATGGAAGCATAGACACATCACGAAGATGGGTCTCACCCTTTCGTTTCACTCTTCAGCTCCTCTACATTTATGGGTTGAAGCCTTCAGTACTGCTGTGTTCACTATTAACCGACTTCCTTCACCGGTTCTTGACAATATTTCGCCATTTGAATGTGTCTATGCAATGCAGCCGAGTTATGATCTCTTTCGCGTATTTGGTTGTCTGGTTTTTCCGTGTCTACGCGACTATGTGAAGCACAAGCTCCAACCTCGCAGTCAGTCGTGCATCTTCATCGGCTATAGCCCTTCTCACAAAGGTTTTCGATGCTTGGATCCGTCGAACTCGAAGGTCTATATCACTCGCCATGCTCACTTTGATGAATCGTGCTTCCCTTTCTCCGCACTCACATCTTCGGTTGCTCCTTCTTCTCTGGATATTTCAACTATGTTGATGGTTTTCTTGCTCCGAAAACCGGTCCACTTTTCCCATCACCTACTCCGCCGCAGGCTCCTACCACTTGCCGCACATGTGCGAGTGAATTGGTCCAGCCTTTCGTTGTTCCACCACTTACTCCTCCTGTTCCGAACACCGCTGATGATCTTCCTCACGACCAGCCTGTTGATGCGCAACTCGGTCTCCAGCCGGATACCGGGCCACGGGCTCCTCCTGCTACGTCACGCACACCTCCTGCTGCCACGCATCCGATGCAAACTCGAGCAAAATCAGGTATCTTTAAACCTCAATATCCTGCCACCATTAACTGTGCATCTCTTCTCACTGCTCTTACGGCTATTCCGGAGCCCCGTGGCATCACGACTGCTCTTAAATCTCCACAATGGGTGCGTGCTATGCTTGAGGAATTATCTGCTTTAAAGGCGAATAATACTTGTTCTCTCGTGCCGCACCCTTCCTCCACCAACGTAGTCGGTTCGAGGTGGGTGTTTCGCACTAAACTTCTTGCTGATGGTTCTGTTGATCGATATAAAGCTCGCTTGGTTGCTCGAGGGTTTAGCCAAATTCCTGGTTTTGATTTCACTCACACCTTCAGTCCGGTTGTCAAAGCATCCACTATTCGAATTTTTCTTTCACTTGCTGTTATGAACTCTTGGCCACTTCACCAACTGAACGTAAAAACGCCTTCTTAAATGGTGTTCTCTTTTCTCCGGTCTTTATGGAACAGCCCCCTGGCTTTGTTGATCGTCGTTTTCCTGATCATGTTTGTCAGTTAAATAAAGCCATCTATGGTCTCCGGCAAGCTCCCCTTGCTTGGTATCAACGCTTCCGTGGTTTTTTACTTTCGATTAGCTTCTTATGCAGTTCTTCCGATACATCTCTCTTTGTTTACAAGAGCGGCGACACATTGGTCTATCTTTTGGTTTATGTTGATGACATAATCATCACGAGAAACGTTCCGCCTGTCCTTGCAGCCCTCATCTCTCGTCTGCATCGCGAGTTCGCAATTACAGATATGGGCTCTCTTGGCTTCTTTCTTGGTCTAGAGGTTACTCGATCCTCTTCCGGCTTATTTCTCAGTCAGACTAAGTATGCCTTGGACATTCTTAAGCGCGCTGAGCTTCAGGACTCTAAGCCGTGGCTACCCCGCTTGCACCTGGCTCTTCCATGACCAAACATGGTGATCCTTTTGACAATCCGACACTTTATCGTTCTCTTGTTGGTGCGCTGCAATATTTAACAATCATACGCCCAGATATTGCTTATTCAGTGAACACTATCAGTCAATTCCAACAACATCCAACCATTGATCATTTCCAATCCGTCAAGCAGATTCTCCGTTACGTCAAAGGGACGCAGAACTATGGTTTATTTTATTCTGTTGGTCCTTCTTCTCTTGTTGGATACTCCGACGCTGACTCGGCACGGTGTTCTGACACTCGTCGCTCCACCTATGGCTATGCCACTTATCTTGGACCCAATCTTGTTTCCTGGAGTGCGAAGAAACAGCCCACCATGGCTCGCTCTAGTTGTGAGTCTGAATATAGAGCCATTGCTCACACTACTTCAGAAATACAATGGGTTGTGAATCTCCTTCAAGATTTGCATGCGGTTCCCACATCCTCTCCAACGCTCTACTCTAATAACACAATTGCGCTTTTTCTCACTCAAAATCCGGTCTCGTATAAGCGCGCAAAGCACATTGATATCGATTATCACTTCGTTCGAGAGCTTGTGGACTCTGGACGTCTATTCACTATGTTCGTGGAGTCTGACAATCAGGTGGCGGATATATTCACAAAGAGCTTGTCGCACGGTCTCTTTGATTATTTCAGGACCAAGCTACGCGTTTCTGTTGCAGACACGACTTAGCTTGAGGGGGGGTGTTAGACTTGTTATGATATACTCAAATCTTTGCATATCTCTAGTTTATTTTGTTTTCTTCTTTTAGGTTTTGTACTCTATATATTCGTACTCATGTATTTAGTTTACGTAAGTGAGAATAAGATCTCTTTGATTATCACACGATCCCCACGAGTAATCCCCAATTGTCTGTAAGTTCTGCATCCTCTCGTACAGGATCTTGGGACTGACCCTGTTACCACTCTTGTCCGTAAACAAGGTGGTAGCGAGCAACACCCACAACCAGCCAGTCGCCACATGCTCAGCCGACCGTCTTGCGCCATTCTTCTGCAACGCAGTAAAAACGACATTATTTGACACCGAGGCGTGACTCCAAAAGCTCGCCATCAGCCTGTCCTGGCTCACCCCCAGCATCTCCATGCAGTACGCATGCTGTGTCATGCTGTCGAGGTCCCCTGTGACTACCGATCCGACGACAGAAACCCCAGTATGGCCCTCACGTCGTGGAGCAGGATACTCATTTCACCAAAAGGGAGGTGAAACGAGTTAGTATCCGGCTGCCATCGCTCCACAAATGCTGAAATAAGTGGAGTGTCGACGTGCTCGTGCATGCTGGACGCCAGATGTAACAGCCCGGTCGGACAGATCAGATCTCGCGCACTGTCATCCATCCCTGCGAGCCACTCCCTCAAAACTCCGTTGGCCGACATCCTGTTTTGGCACTTCAACGTGCCTCTGAGCTGTCCATTCCAAATCCGGGAGGCTACGTGCCCTAGAAAACTAGGGATAACACTCCCGTCGATGGGGCCACCGAGTACTGGGGCTTTAACAAGCCAGTCGTCGCACTTAGTGCGTTTAATGCTCGCCTCTGTATTAAAAAAGAACAATTACTATATATACAACATATTGCGATTGACTGTATCAATAATGCACCATTATTAAATAAAATATATATATATATATATTATTGTTACATTATTCTCTCGATGGGGAGCGATTTTATTCTCTCGATGGGGAGCGATTTCTAGTAGGGTTCGGATTTGTTCCTTCTTCTTCTTCTTGATCTGTTCTTTGTTCCTTTGATTTGTAATCTTCTTTGTTTTGTAATCTTCGACTGTTCCTTATCCATTTGTGGTTCTCTCGTTCTATTCAATTTGGGGATCTAGGGTTCTTCCTTTCTTTTCGATTGCTCTTTATGGCTAGCCAATCTTTCATAGGCCAGGATGAAGATCTGACTCAGCGGTTAGAAGTTTTCTCGCTTTCAGAAACGGAAAATGTTATCATTGATATTGCCAAAATAGATATTCGATACAGTGCAGAAGAATGCCATAAAAGTTTGTTCGGCAAAATTATCGGCGATAGGCCGGTAAGCTGGATGGGAGTGAAACGTACTATGAGTTACATTTGGAAACTGCGTCAGCCAATGGAGGTTAAAGAGCTGGCACCAAACTTCTTCCAGTTCATATTCCAAAGTAAAGAAGATTTGGAAAGGGTTGCTCGAGGTACAAATTGGACTATTGATAACCAGTTCCTCCTGCTTTCAGAATGGAAAGAGCGCTTATCCGCTAATCATCCAGTATTTCAAGAGCTTCCAATTTGGGTTCAAGTTTATAATGTGCCTCTCAACTGGCTAAGCACAGAGGTGGGCTACAAAATTGGGAGAGTGTTTCACCGTCTCAAAAATGTGGTTGTAGCTGGTGCAGGTAACCATGGTGGAAAGATTCTCCGGCTTCTAGTCACAATTAACCTTGCTGAATCTCTTCCTAGATGTGCTACGATAAGGCTGGGAGAGGAGATTGTTAAAGTCAGTTTCAAGTATGAAAAACTGGTAAATATGTGCAATTACTGTGGTCTTATTGGTCATTTAGACAGAAGCTGTCAAAGGAAGATCAATGACATAGCTAATAGCTCTCTGAGGATGGGCCAATATGGTGATTGGATGAAAACCCCAGAATTCAACCAATGGGCCTCAACTAGTACATCAAGCTCTCAGTTCCAATCCTCAGACTCCCCTGCTACTCCTGTTCAGGCATCATCTCCTCCTAATACTTCCACGAGCCAACTCAGAGAGTCGAACCAATTTCCTTCTGCTGATAAAGGCACTCAAAAGTCTATTCCTCAAGAGGTGCAGAACTCAACTGGCTCCAAAGCTCCCCCCCGGGAAATCATTTTAGCATCCTCTTCGGTTGTGCCTATCCCATTACCAGATGAGCATCCAACTCAAATCACAATGGCACATCACATTTTAGAGACATTCTCTTTGGTTCCAACTCAACCATGCTCTAACCCAGGAGGCCCTCAAGAAATTCTTATGATCGAGAACTCCCCATCGAAACCCAAAACCTGGAAAAGGGCTGCCAGGAAAGATGGCAGACTCACAAGACAGAATGATGGTGAGGGGAATACAGAAGCTCCATCCAAAGGGAAAAGGGATATCTCATAAGTCAATAACTCAGAGGAAGGTATCTTTGAGTCTCTTTCAAAGCCAGAAGTGACAAAGAAATCCAAGCTTGATTCTTCAACGGTGGGGGTGGCCAGCCATGAATGGTACCCAAGTGATCAATGATTGCTGCGGTGTGGAACTGTCGAGGACTGGGTGGGCCCTCGACAGTTTCCCAAATCAAAGAGACTTTTAGATCTCACCACCCCAATTTCTTCTTCCTTTCTGAAACTAAAAACTCTTCCTCTTTTGTTAAATCTGTAGTTAAAAAGTTGGGTTACTCTGACAGACATGTTTTGGTTGATCCAGCGGGGCTGAGTGGAGGTATTCTTCTTATGTGGTCTCCTGAAGTTACTATTATTCAGATGATTTGTCAATCTTTTTTCATAGCTGTGGAAGTCTGTTTGGTTTCTGGTGAGGTAAGCTGGGCTGTTTTCGTTTACATGAGTACTTGTCCTGCAACGAGAGTGGATCAGTGGGATCTTCTCATCCGTGAAAAAAACAAATGGAAGGATAAATGGTTTATTATCGGTGACTGGAACGACATATGTTCCAATTCTGAAAAGCTGGGAGGCTCTCCAAGAAGTGACAGAAGTCTCTTGGGCTTCAAAAACTTATAAACTTGATGTCAATGGAAGAAATCAGAATGACTGGATTCAAATTCACCTGGTGCAATCTTCGAATTTCTGAGGGGCTAATACATGAAAAACTGGACAGAGGGTTTGGCTCTTTGGATTGGCTCCAGCAATTCCTTAATGCCTCCATCTCCACATTCACACGCAGCGCCTCCGATCATTCACTCCTAATTCTCAATACAGGATCTCATACACACAGGCCTCCCCGCAGATTCCACTTTGATAAACGATGGCTTCTCAGAGAAGACATAAATGAAGTAGTAAAGGCAGCCTGGACACAACAGCAGACAGGTACTCCTTTTTTTAAGCTCAAAGAAAAGATTAAGCTCACCAGATTGGCTCTTATCAAGTGGAGTGCAAAGTTCAAAACTGAGAATCAATCCAGAATGGAGCATCTTACTTCGAAGCTTGAGTTGCTGAGGAATGCCAATCTTGCTAATAACTGGGATGAATGGATAGAAACAAAAGTTGAACTGGACAAGGCCCATCACTTTGAGGAATTATTTTGGAAGCAAAAATCAAGAATCCAGTGGCTTAAGGAGGGAGACAACAACTCTAGATTTTTTCATGCCTATACTCTCCAGAGAAGAAGGCAAAATGCCATAACTAGACTGCTTACTCCTCAAAACAGAGAATGCTCCACCCAACAGGAGATCCGAGATCACATCATTGAGTTCTACAAATCTCTCTTTACTTCAGAAGGATCATGGGGTGGAGACAGCATCCTCCATCTCATCCAGCCATCTATATCCTCTGAAATGAATCAGGATCTCCTCAAACATGTTCATGAGGAGAAAATTAAAGCTTCTCTTTTCAGCCTGGATCCAGATAAAACTCCTGGAGAGGATGGTATGACTGCTCTGTTTTACCAAAAATTTTGGATTCTTATTAAGTCTGATCTTGTCTCTGCTGTGCAAAGTTTCTTTGATACTGGAAATCTGTTGAAATATTGGAACCACACGATTGTGAATTTAATTCCTAAGTGTCTGCATCCAGATAATATCACTCAATACAGACCCATTAGTCTCTGCTCTGTGGTCTATAAGGTGGTCTCCAAATTACTTGCTCTTAGACTAAAATCTTGTCTGCTAAATTGCATCAGTGATTTCCAATCTGCCTTTATTAATGGTAGGCAACTTTTAGACAATGTGATTATTGCACAAGAGGCTTTCCACTTTATTAACAGACATCATTCTGGCAAAAATCAATTCATGGCTATAAAACTGGATCTGGTGAAAGCTTTCGACCGAGTTGAATGGATATGTGTGAAAAATATTATGTTACAGATGGGATTTTCTGCTGCCTTTGTGAATTTAATTATGATCTGCATTTCATCTTGCTCCTACTCTTTCAAAGTTAATGGTGCAGTTAAGGGCTTCATTCATCCATCCAGAGGTATTAGACAGGGGGATCCTTTGTCCCCTATCTATTCATAATTGTGGCAGAGTTACTTTCAGCTTTGGTGACTGATTCTATCAATTCTGGTCAGCTGCTGGGTATGAAGATCTCTAAAAATGGCCCTCCAATTTCCCACCTACTATTCGCGGATGATTCTCTATTTTTCTGTAAAGCTGAAGTCGGGCAAGCTTATATTCTTTTAAACATCTTGGAAAAATACAGATTGTTCACTGGTCAAATGGTAAACCTTCAGAAATCTGCTGTGTTCTTCAGCAAGAACACCCCTTCAAACCTGCAAGCCAGCATTTGTTCCACATTGCAAGGCATCTCTGCTCATAAATCAACCAGATATCTTGGATTGCCCTTGGGGATAGGCAGATCAAAGAAAGAAGCCTTTCAATTTGTGCTTCACACTGTCCAATCCAGACTTCAGAATTGGAAAGCTCAGCTGCTTTCCCCTGCTGGTAAAGAGGTTCTTATTAAGGCTGTTCTCCAAGCTCTTCCTATCTTTTCTATGTCCTGTTTCATTCTCCCCTCTTCTCTGTGTTTTGATTTATCAAAATGGTGCTCTACCTTCTGGTGGAGCAAAGGGGATGGTCAAGGTTCTGGAATTCACTGGAGATCTTGGTCTGCTCTTACTCTTCCAAAGTCTGAGGGTGGCCTTGGTTTCCTGGATCTTAAAATTTTCAATAGAGCTCTTATTTGCAAACAAATCTGGAGAATTTTATCTCAGCCATCCCTTCTTGTTAGCAGAATTCTGAAAGATAGATACTACCCTTGCTGTTCAATTTTTGATGCTGCTAAACCAAGTAACTGCTCATGGCTCTGGTCTAATTGGCTCTCTGTTCTTCCAACTGTTGCTAAGGGTTTTAGAGTGGAAATCAGGGATGGTGCTTCCACCAAAATAGATGACTTCAATTGGGTCCCTTCCCTTGGCTGTTCTAAGCCTCATTTGCTGGAGATAGCCAGAGGACACATCACATGGGTTAAAGAGCTGATAAATTCATCTGGAAAGGAATGGAATGTTTGGCTTATTTCTCAATTATTCAATTCTGCTGACTGCCAAGCCATTCTAGACATCTGTACTTTAAAGCCTGGTGCAGCTGACAGGTGCTTTTGGGCATTTGATAAAAAAGGGATCTTTTCAGTTGCTAGTACTTATGATTATCTGATCAAGCAAAAGCTGCTTTGCCTTGATTTACCTGGGAGCAGCAACATTCCCTCAGCTTCTTCAAAACTGCACAACAATTTCAACAGATGCTGGAAACTTAAGGTGCTTGGTAAGATAAAACACTTTATTTGGAAATGTCTTTCTGATACTCTGCCCGTGAAACTGAACTTGGTGAAAAGGGGTTTGGTTATTGATACAACCTGCCAGTCTTTTGGCGAAGCTGCTGAATCTGTTGAACATCTTCTTTTTTTCTGCCCAAATGCCTGCAAAGTTTGGGATATTGCCCCTGTTCAATGGGATGGACTGAAATCCTACACTTCTTCCTTCAAATGCTGGTGGTCTAATCTTTGCTCTCTTGATAAATCGGATGTGGCTGAATATAGGATCCAACTAACCACCTATTTGCTGTGGTGGCTTTGGAAAGCGCGCAACCTATGGGTTTTTCAAAACATCCCATTGCCAGCTCCACAGGTTGTTAAAGCTGCTCATAGACATTGGTTGGAACTGGCGCAGTTATCCTAACTCTTGTGTTTGGACCTTTCTGTTTTTTGGTAGTTTCTTTGTTTTTCGGTTTTGGCTTTCTGTTCTATTTGCCTCTTGTAGTTTGTTTTTGTTTGTGCCCTCTAGGCTTCGACAGTGGAGGGTTGATGTTTTCTTCTTAGTTTGTTTGTTTATTGAGTTTCTAGGCCGTCGATGTACGTGTCCTCCCAGTTCTCTGTTTCGAGTTGTTGTTAAACATTGTACTTTTTCAGTTGAGTAATATAATCCTCCTATCGTTTTGAAAAAAAAAAAAATATATTATTGTTGCCTAACAGCATT